TTGGAAAGCCCTAAGTGATAGCTCAGATTGCATTTGCTCCTTCTTAAAGTATAAATTACTGTCAAGAGATAAAAAAAGATTATCTTTGATAGAAAATATAGTTCAAGCCAAAGAAAGAATAACGCTGATATTGTTAGCATGGTGTTCCACAGGCTATTTCCATTTATCCACTAAATGACTCTGAACTGTAATATTAAATCGAGAATGTAACACTCTTATACTAGCGTCAAATGTGCTTATAAGATTTTGTTACTTTAATTAAATACCTGAAAACGATGCTTCTTGATATATTTCAGAACTAAAAGTTAACAGCTATCGCTTCCGTTTTCGGAATGAATTAATTTTTCATAGCTGATTTGGCACCCTTCTAGTTTGTCCATCGCCTCACTATAGCATTAGTTCTGGTTGCAGTATTTAATAGTTTCAGCTGTTGGTAAAGAACAATTAATGAAAGCCTACTATTACAGTACGTTTATTTACAATGGTAATAGCCTACCACAGATGAAAGCACATGAATTTTGAGTGCTCCTATATATTTTAACAGAAATTGTGAAGCATTTTATTCTTACGTTTTTATGAAAGAGACTGGTTTTATTGCAAATACTTCCGTCAACAATAGTTACAAATAAAATTTATCGCTGCACTTTTATTTATTTTCGGCTACGAAATAAACAGAACCATAAAGTGAATTTATGGCTACGCTTCTAAAAGAGTTTTATGTAGAATCAATCACAGAATATTTAGAAGGTTGAAGTCACTTAATTCCTATCTATTGTCAGTACTTTAGGAAAGCACGAACGTTTGGAGTTAAAGATTTTTTTGAATGAACCGACCAATACGTACGCTTTCTCAACACATATTCTACTCTATTTATCTTCAGATAATTTAAAAATATGTTACTGAGAAATAAAAAATATCATTTACATACAAAAATATAAAGATGTTTGGTTGTTGTAATGCATCAGTTCCTAGACAAACATTCAAATGTTGAAGACGGGAGCTGTGACACAAGAAAATGCAATTCCAGGTGTTTACGGAGCATCTTGCGGTATGTACGAGGATATCACTGACGGACAGTCTGAATTGATAGAAAGTAGGTATTTATTATCATGATTCAAAGGAAACCTGATTTTTTTTCTGTTAACAGAGTGCATGTTACCGTATGCAGTAACCTCTTTACATTTTATAAGTGGGCGACGTTTAAGTTATTCCTATGTATGCGGTGATCTACTTTCACTTAACATCAGAAAACTGCACAAATTCTGTATCATACACATTAAACATTATGTATAGTACACTGTATTATATGATACATTATTATTAAAAATTAAACCTTTGTTTCATTATTAATTAATATTTAATTAACTCTAGATTGATATACCAGAACAATGTTTAAATACTCAAAAAAAAAAAAAAATCTGCAAAAGCAATCTGTATTTTACTTGTGTTCAAACATGATTCAGACATGTCAACTTAACGTTTTGTCTCATTTTTAACTTTATTTTAACCACATGTGGTAGTTAAGTTTTCAATGCCTAAATCACAGTTATTATCAGGTCTTTTTTTGTGTATGTGTGAAGCTTTACATATCGTTAAGGTTGTAGTCACTTGGATTTTGTGACAAAGTTTATTTTTGGTGCTAAGCAGCACCCTGTCAGCAAAAAATATCAAAATTTGATCACTGGAATCTCAACTGTTTACATTACATCATCAATTTAGAAGTCAAGCAACAAAAATAAGCTTTATATTTTCAAATTTTCACAGGACTAGTTTCGATGGTTTTACCGAACCATCATCCTCAGCTGCAAAAGCGCAAATGACGACATTTATGTGACTTCCTTCATGACGCATCGATTTTTTTTTTTTTTTTTTTTTTTGCAAAAGAGTGTATTTTTATTATTAATCAACACTGAACCTCTATACTGAGTAACATTTTATTAAAAAGCAATTTTATTGCAGGATAATACGTTGTTGATTGTAAGAATAAAACGTACCTGGAAATGCTTTCTCTTCATTAATTCCTAACTGTTTGTCCGAGCAAATCGGTTTATCCGCCAGAGCGAAACTCTCATAAAATTGTAATTTTACTTAATTAAGTAAAGAAATAATTGATTTATTTAAAAAAGGAAGTAATTAAAACGTTACGTTTTCAAATTAATTCTATTAAGGCATATATCATCTGACATTTAATATATTTTATTCGCTTCGCATCGAAGTTCCATACTGAAAGAAAGATAAACAATTAGTTTCTTTATTAGAAAAATTAAATGTATGGAATGCTGTTTTTTCTTTTTTAATAAACATTCTGACAAAGAGGAAAATAGAAATAATAAATAATTTATCCCGAGTATTGTTCTAGGTAAATGAATTCCTTTTAAATTGATAAAAAGTAATTACTGTATTAATAAAGCTTAAAGAATTAATGAAGTTGTCGCAGGGAATTAAGTTTTCTGTAATAAATAGAAGGGTCTAAAATATCGACAGCAAAATAATTTCTCATTTTCAATCTCTACAACTAAATAATAAAGAATTTGTATTGTATGTATATATATATGTTCTTCGCATTGGGAAACACCTACTGCCACCAGATATTCAACACACAACGTCTTTCATCCAAACATGCGTACTGCGGAGCTCGAGTTTTAAATATCGAATTTCTTTTATTTACGTCTTATTCTATGTGAATACGACAACATTTTGACTATAAAACTCGAGAATTTAAAAGTAATATGCTGCCCCTAGGCAAATCGTAGAATATTTATTTTTTAAATTAAATCGAAAAACTCAGCAAAGTTAACAGAAATATGTTGCCACTCCCAAAATTAAAATACTTACATATTCCACGCGCCGGTACGATGCCATTACGTAAAGTGAAGGATATTTAATTTACCTAGTAGAGTTTATATTTATTTTAACTAACATTTATTTTAAGTTTAAACTATCTTTCCTGTCAAGCCTTACTTTCCCCTGGAATTGACAATGCCAGAGTATGTAAATTTTAGTAGAACGCGCAAAGTATTCAAATTTTAAGCAGAAGTAATTTGAGTTAAATAGAAGGGAAAATGAGTTCGTAAGTGTTCGTAAGTGTGCTTATATATTTTTCTTTTCATTAGGAACTATTTTAGCGGTTGGCTGAGCAAACGTCTAGTCAAACAAAAATAAAAATAAAAGACACAAATAAAAATATTTAATAAAGAGTTATAAATCAGAATGCTTACTAAGAATTTTCTCTTGCCATGTCACGTATTTTTCAGAGATATTTGATGGAAAATTTAAGGTTTGCAAACAACCTAAGCTAATTCTGAAAATGAAACCTGAATTTTTTATTTATTTATAATAGACGATTTAAAGATTAATTTAAATATATTGATATAAAACTTTTTCTGTCCATAAAACGAGATAAAAATTCAACCTTACATTAGTTTTTATAACACCTCAATGACATTTGAGTTTGTTAATATATTCAAGAAGGCTACATTTAAAAGGCATTTTCTAACACATTCTTACTAACTCTTCTCAGTATAACAGAACAGAACACAGTCAGAAGTTATCGCTTTAAACTACTAAGAACGTTAAACACAATGTTATGCAAAGCGCATCTAAAACTGCAACATCCACTGAGATATCTCAATACTCCAAAGTGAAATCTGAACTGAAAAACTGAGAACTGATACTCTCTCCGGTCTTCGATCGTTTCCCCGCCAGGCCACCGAGAAACCTGAAGTACGTTTCATTTCTTGAAATGACTGAAAGGCACATACGGTTGCAGTTACATATACCGATAAATTGCATTCATTCATTTGCCGTGCCATTTACATTTTACAGGAAACGGACCAAATGTCGCAAAGTTTCGCAATTAGTCCTCAAAAATTATCGTTTATCGGTTTTGGAGATTAATTATGGTCTCCAAATAGGCGGAAAACTGCTAAAAGTGGCCAAAATTGACAGCCATTTGACGGCAGTTGGATCTGGTCGTTTTATAATTGTAGTCAGTACTGGAACTGAATAAGTGTAATTCATAGCTATATGTAACTGTAACCGTATCCGGCACTCCTATGCCTTCTAGTAAGTTTGAGAAGTGGAAGGTACTAGAGATTTCAATGCGTTATGAACCCGTACACACGCAACAATATACAGTTTACTGCAACACAAAATAAATTCTATCTCAGTGCGTTGAATAATAGTCTCTATAATTAAGCGACAAAATATGTTTAGCGCCACGCAAATCCATGCATGTAGAAAATCACATTAAAAAATTTAGCGCATTATTAATTTTGAAAATAATCGAATTATGACTTTGTAGACACATTCGGTATTTTTTGGAAGCGGGAAAGATGAAAATAAGCAACGCCTTCGCCGGGACTCGAACTGCAGACCTCTAGAATGCGCGTCCAGCGTGCAGACCACTACACCAAGAAGGCACGCTAAGAAGGCGGGAGAAGTACCTACATACATAAGAATACATAAGAAGTACTACTACATACATAAGAAGTACTACTACATTACATAAGAATTATCGTACGTTTATCTTAAAATATCTGCATTGCTCGTTTTGAATATAATGTAATTCTTTGGAACATAATGCAAGAAAAACATGTAAATGAAAACAACGAAAATTGCAGATTCGGAAGTTTTGGCATGATGCCGACAGTACACGTCCTGATTTTTTTCAAAACATATCGCGAGATTACGGCAAAATATAAAAATACCATTTAAGTTTGATTTGACATTTGACATTTAAAAGTATTCTTCAAAATAAACTCTTTCTTTCCCCGCTTTCATTGCATTCGTTTCAAAAAATGGTTAAATTTTGAAAAATACGGAGAAGTAAAAAAAAGGTCTCACGTCACTTTCTTTCATATTTACGAGCAACTAGGACTTGGGGCTGTCAAGTCGGGCAAACGCAAAATGTGTTTACGCTTTATTTATTGACATGATAAATCAACAGAAAAGAAAATGCCCAGAAAGGAAAGTTTTGTTATTCTGTTTCTCTTTCCTAGGAGTGCTCAGTAAAGAAGCGACATGTTCTCAAGATGCATTTCGAGCGTGCATGCATCTCTATCCCAAAACTCAAATGGATGAAATTGGAGTAGCTCCAGATGAAGATGAGCTCACTGCTGTGTGCCCGTAACTATATGCCTTATTTTTTAAAGAAATTGTAATTTTTTATAATATTTTTTTAAACAAAGTTTTCCTCATAATAACTGTGATGAGCTAAAACATATTGAACACTAGAAAATCCAGAATAATTCTTTTTGTGTGATAGTCTTCAAAATAATGTAAATATTATCTTCTAAAATCATTCGCGGTTAGAATTTTGTTATTTTTTTCAACGCGTCTTCTACGACACCGCCATTTTAAGAGACAAGAAAGAACATTTTTTTTTCAGGAGGTAAAACTGAATGCGGTTTCTTTGAGATATGTTTATTGGAAAAGTTCCATTCCTAATTCTATAAGCTGATTCCAAAACTTTCCAATATGAAACTTTTTTCTTATTGAAATTTTCCAGATTCAAGATTTAAATTATAAGGTATAAACAACGCCTTCGCCGGGAATCGAACCATGGACCTCTGTAATACGCACCCAGTGTGCAGTCCACTACACCACGAAGGCACGCTAAGAACTGTGGAAATTATTAAATTTATTTAATGCCGAGTTTTAAATTCAAGACTATTTACGATTTATACCAAGAGATGGGCAGTGAACATGAAACGCTTTTGTTACATTCCGAAGTAAGGCGGTTATCCAGAGGCAAAATATTAAATCGCTTTTACGAACATCGATCAGAAATTCAAATTTTCCTCTGTGATTCAAAATTTGAATTGCAAAATCGTTCATTTAGTAAATTATGATTGGCATATGTTGCTGATATTTTTTGGAAAGTTAAATGCATTAAATTTAGGATTACAAGAACAAAATGTTAATTTATTTACCATTAGAGGTAAAACAAAAGCAATGATAAAAAAATCGAGCTAATAATCAAAGAAATAGCTAATAATATTTTCAGTTTTTACTATTTTAGAAAGTTTTCTAATGGAAGATAATTTGAAAAAAGAAGAATAAGCATCGAACATTAAAAATCATTTTTTTTCATTAATAAATATTTTCGATACATGTTTCTCGAGGATTATAAAAAAGAAAACTGGATTAGAGATCTATGTTGTTCAAGTGTAGCTGAAATTTTTTTCTCGTGAAGAAAAAGAACAATTGATAGGAATTTCCTGTGATCGAAATCTAACTGAACATTTCAAAAATAACACACTTGTTAACTTTTAGTTGAACGAAAAAAAAAAAAAAAAAGAATTTAAAGGCATTTGAAATAAAGCTATTAACTTTTCATTGTCTTTTTGCTTAATTTATTTTTGCAAATAATGTTTTTATTCGATGTCATATTTGAAAAATAAATAGAGAACAAAATTAAAAGTAGATCCTAATTTACGGTTAAAACTAAGTGAAATAAGATAAAACATAAAAAAAAAAATTGATCTCTGTTTAAACAGGCCCAAACTTTACAAATTTTAGAACTAAATTATCATAACTTAAATTTTGATAATTAAAACGATAACCAATTTTTAATCTAATTTTTATGTATGCATATTTAATACAAATAGCCAATAGGTTGTGCAAATGGCAATACATATATATGTTTTTAATATTTCAATTGAGAAATTGAAAAATAATCATTGTAAAATGTAGTGGTAGTACTAAACTTTCTCAATTTTTGTCTATATGTTGAGAACCTCTTATCCATTCCATTCCTCAAGCAGAACTTAAGACTTTGCACTTCTGAAGCATTGAATGCACACAATTTTTGATATACAGCCCTAGACAGAAAATGCATGTTTAAACTGAAGTATTTATTCTTGCAAAAGCTGTTGGTTGCGCTGATGTGTATGCTCACTAACGCCATCTTTATACATCCTCAATACGTTGTAAGTGTCATTCGTTATCGAAACAGTGTTCTCTACAGTTCTGAGTGCATTTCACATTTTTAGTTCCTCTATGGTAAGCTCATTTAGCTCACATCGTCTAGGACTGGTTTTCTGAGCATAAGGGTGAACTTTACCATCTACATGGCCACCACAGTTACCATAATATCGAGCATTTATGGGTTATTTTTGAGAATTATCTGCTTGAGTGCTATCCACCTCCGTCATCGTTAACCGAACTTGAGAACGTTTTATAGGAAGAATGGTACAAGACTTTGCAAAGCATAACAACACCTCATTTTATCCACTCCGTGAAGACTGCATGCTGTTTTGAATGCCAACGAGTTTCCTACACAGTATTAGTCAGAGTAATATATTTTTAATTAGGTGTTTCCATATTTTTTCAAATAAGTAGTACATTGTCCTTTGCTTGTAGATGGAACTTTGCTTCATTTGAAAATATAACCTTTTGAGACTGTTATGACTGCTGTCGTTTTGATGCTAAGCTTAGTGAAGAGGGTTTAAGTGTTTTTTAAACTTTCCTTAAGTTTCTGTGAATCTCGGTTCCATCTCCTGTTCGTTTTTATCTTCTTCTACCATCACATTGCTTGTAAAACAAAACTCGGAACTAACCAAGACACTTCTGAAAACTAACAAAAATAAACAATTGAAAATTAAAAGAAATAAACATATGGTAACTTGCAAAAATATAGCATTTGGAAATGTTCTGAAAATGGCTGATGAGCTGAAAGTAATAGTGCGAGTTATTATTATGTGATAAGATTTATAACACAAAATCATGCAGACGAATAAATACATTCCCTTGAGCAGGAAAGTTTAATGCCTGATGCAGTAAAGTGATAGTTTAATAAAAACCAATAATAACGGTATAAATAATTTTACGTTTTATACATCTACATTTAGGGCGAACTATATATGCGAGAAAATGAAGTTCCATTTACTTTACAGGAAGGGGTTTCATTCGCTGCACCGTTAAAAGAGCGTCATAAAGTTCATGCCATACTTTCCATTATCGTTTGCAGCTTTGTAGTCAGCTCATAATTACTAGTCCTTCACATTTTTGTCTCAATGTTAGTCAGATTAATAAATGCATTACGATTTCAGTTTTCGAGAAACCATTCTAAAAGTGCTTTGTCGAATTCTTACCTGCCTTTTCTCTTTTTTGATTCCGAATCGCTCCGAAATTTTTTTTCCTTTCCAGCAGTCTCTTAACATGGGATTCAGAAATATTAAAACTTTATATCAATTCAGTTTGTGAGCATTTAATTTCACTTGAAAAATTAAAACTAATATTTACTCTTAAAATAAGAACTTTTTATTCGATTGATATTCTTTCGAGATTTTAATGCATTAACATGCGCATTTAGATTTTAATGCATAATGCGTAAAATGGATGTTACTTTAATTTTTATTCAAAACGTACAAATTTAACAAAATCTAACAAAATGTGCCAGTTTCTGAGAACGGAGAAAAACATAATAGTGGAACTTTTCTCAAATGAAACAACTTTATCAGACAGAATAAATAGTTTTTAAACTCGGAAAACCTCTAAGAGAAGGTTAGAAAAACAAAAACCCTTATGAGCATGCAAAATCTGGAAACCTCGAGTAGGAGTGCAAGCTAGGACGAAAAAAAAAATACACACAAAATTGTTCAAAACTTTGCATTTAAGAACAGAAAAAGAATGTTCGATTTGGCAAAGAAAAGCATCTTCTGCGTAGGAAAGAATGTTTTCGCAGAAATAACTTTTTATAGTTTGGGACCTATTAGATAAAGTGGATATTTTGTAAACAGGTATTACCACGAGTGGTTTCGACAGTAAAACATGGAAATGGTAACAATAAAACAAATAAAATTTAAAAAAGTATTTTTTATTTCTGGAGGAAAATCTGTTTAGTGTTTTGAGGCAAAGAATAAAAGGGTAGAAGGCCAAACAGACCAATTTTTCTTCATTCTGAATAAAAACATAAATTTCACTTCTTAAACTAATTTTAGTTTTTTTTATAGAAAGCAGTACGTATAATTAATTATTACACTTTAAATACTCCAGAAAGCGAGAGGGCATTTTCTTTGTAAGATTCTAATCTGTTTACTTTTAAGTTACAGTTAAAGTTGAAAAATTTTAAGAACTGATAAGCGAATAATCGCTTGAGTTCGTCAGACAGAGAACAAAACGTTCGAAAGGTGAATTTACGTTTATTATTCCAATAAAGTTTAACAAACTCCTTTTTGGAGTTTTACAAGAAAGCCTCCCGTCGGGCTTTATCTCAGGAACTAAGGAACTTAACTAAACTAAAAAGGTACAGCCGAAGCTATCAAAATTCTAACAGAGTTAACCGGCGAAAACGTTACACGTTAAATAACGGCGAAGCTATCAAGGGCCAAAAGTATGGCCGAGCGTAATAATAGCTTAAGAGAGAGTAGCCTAAAAAGTCGGACGCGCGCTAGTCAGAATCACTGGTTCTCTCTAACGAAGTCAGTAGCACTTCACAGTTAAATATTTCTCATTTTTATTCAAACGCGATTCTAAAAATACGTTCTGGCCGGAAGTTGTAAGCTTGAAATTAAGAAAAGATAGGACAGTATCTTTAACTCAAAATAATTGTTAGATAAATTAACATAATCCTTACATCTTACATTCATCTTTGAATTATTGACCATAAATCGATGAAAGTTTTAGTTACTCAGCATTTAACACTGAAACGTTAATGTGAAAACACTGAAACGGAAAGATTTAGAATAAATTTAAACGTAAAATAATAAAACATGAAGACAATGTTTTCAGTGTATTCCAATAAATGAATAAATGCATTTGTTGAATAACATCGATATAAAGAAATATCGAGTTATTATAAACGTCAAGGTCAATTTAAATAAAATTCATTGATGGAAACATTTAACTGAGCTTGATAAAAATTTCGAATTATCTATGTGCTGTTATCTGTCTAACATTCTAGTGTACCTCTCTTTCAGAATACGTTTTTCACGAAAACATCCTAAAAAATACAGCAAAGATGGCAAAACTTCGTACAAACATAAATATATAAAAGTAATCCAAAGATATACATCTAAGTTTCCAACACAGAGGTAAAGTATTATAGACGATAAACATACCCTGAAATTTCACTAAACATAAATATGCAATAGAATTGAATTTTTCAGTAGAATAAATAGGCTTCTATAAGATTAGGCACGAAGGCTTTTTATTCTTTTAATAATTTTTATAAAGTTCAGATACATAGATAATATTTTATCACTATGGACACTTCCGTAAAATAATATTACAGAGGAAAACGAAGTATTCTTAAGAACAATATTTAAAGTACTTGAATTTCTTATGTAATATAATTATGTAAATATTTATCTCACTAAATTAGATATCAATCGAATGTTCGAAAAAGACAGAAACAAGCGCTAATGAAGACGTTTTAGAAGGACGTTATTAATACGTTTTAAAAACGGACGTACGCTTTGTTAAGAATTGATCTTATACATGAACTTCTAATAATCCAAGGTCATCCAAGATTTGAATATCCCTCTTGAGATTGTCATATCCAGAGTTTGGAGACTGTTTTTAAGCACTGAATCAATTGATAGACAGCCAGTTCAAGGAGCGACCAAGAGCAGCAACTGCATAAGAAAACCATTTCTGTTGCTGCCGGTTCGAAGAAAACGCAAAGCGACCACAAAAGATTTGGTGGTAGATTTTCAGGCTGCCACAAGAACTCGAATTAGCCGTTCTACTGCTGCTCGAAGGCTTAACCATTTGAAGGCCTAAACGCTCGAAACAGCCTTTTATTTAAAAGACTACAACCGCCCGAAACGACCAAGATTGCCATGTTCCTTTCTTCCCTTCCTCTAATGCAGTAACACGTGCAGGTACCCCATATGCATTGTATAAGTTTAATGCAGAGAGCTTGTCCTAAAAGGATTTGTTTGTGGTTTCTCATCTTTAGGTTGCGCGTGACATTTGAAATAATCACATTGTAACAGCTTTAAAATCTTATAGTTTAAATAATTTAAATAGATGAACATTAAGGTATTTGTGAATGACAATATTTGAAACCAGACTCGAGTGCCACGTGCGACTCTCGCATGAAGAATGTAATTTATTTTTAAAATGTGAGAATATGTTTTCTCTTCTTGTTTGTATGACGCCATTTTTTTGAGTGTTAAATAAAAGTTATTGCTGTGTTCCATCATTGGAGTTGCTTCATTTCGCCAAAGAAGTATCACAGTCATAATTATTTTGGAGGCACCGACGAAATCGAATAATCGTGCGTATTTTTATTTCATTAGTTCATCATTGAACATAATATTAGTGATACCAGATTATTACTTCGTGTTAATATTGAATTGCTTTATTTTATTAGTTCATCACTGAACGCAATATTAGTGATACCAGGATATTACTTTCTGTTGATATTGAATTGCCTTATTTTATTAGTTCATCACTGAACGTAATATTAGTGATACCAGATTATTACTTCCTGTTGATATTAAATTGCCTTATTTTATTAGTTCATCACTGAACGTAACTTCCTGTTGATATTGAATTGCTTTATTTTATTAGTTCATCACTGAACGTAATATTAGTGATACCAGATTATTACTTCCTGTTGATATTAAATTGCCTTATTTTATTAATTCATCACTTGAACGTAAACTTAGTGATACCATTTTAATGCCGTTTCTACTAGAGCTCAAAGGAAAACAAAAATAGCTGAAGAGTAGATGTTGGAACCGATGAAGCAAGAAAATAAAGCATCCAGAGATATCTTTGAAGAAAAAAGTTAAATCACTGGAATTAAACGTGGAAGATTTTCACGTAAATTTTGAAAACGATAAAGATAAACAAATTAATATTGAGAATCATTTTGCCAATGCAACATTATCATCATCTTTCCGGCTTTCGATTTAATATCAAAGCCGCTACTAATAGACGAAGAAAACAATTGCTGAAAGCAAATGGCAACTGAATATTATCCGAAAGGCACAGAGAAACTGAGGAAAGGCTTTGCTGTGAATTATAGCCAAGGAACTGGTCCAACATGGAAGAGATCTAGAACATCAACTTGGAAGAGATCTGGCGCCGTCAAGAAAAAAATAGAAGACTAATTTGAACACTGTCCATTTTCTTCTTATTTAAATGTGGTGAAAAAATATTTGTTTAAAACTTTAAATTTTTGACCTGAAATTTGGAAACTTATGAGAGAAGTTACCTTTTCTCTTTAAGCAAATGAGCAAGCCGAGCTTATTAAACTGTCAAATTTTACAGAACGTTTCCCTTCGGAAAAAGTCTCTCCGTTGGGGGAGAGGTTGTAACAGCTTTAAATAGTATTAAAATCTTATAGTTTAAATAATTTAAATAGATGAACATTAAGGTATTTGTGAATGACAATATTTGAAACCAGACTCGAGTGCCTCGTGCGACTCTCGCATGAAGAATGTAATTTATTTTTAAAATGTGAGAATATGTTTTCTCTTCTTGTTTGTATGTCGCCATTTTTTTTAGTGTTAAATAAAAGTTATTGCTGTGTTCCATCATTGGAGTTGCTTCATTTCGCCAAAGAAGTATCACAACATCCTTTCATGCGAACTAGTGCCGTCGTCACCTTCAACAGAGCCAAGACGACTAGGCCCAACTGTTGTTTACTAATGAATCCAACTATGGTCTGAACAGTGATTATAGACTTGTTTTGATCTGGAGAGTGAATGGAATACACAAGAGAACGTTAGGCCATTCTAAAAATTTTATTATTAAAAAATAATAGAAGAATTCAACAGCTTGGGATCTAACACTGAAATTTTTAATGAAAATGATTTAAATCCAGGAAAATATAATCTGATATTTTTTAAACAAAACACATCAAAATATGGAGGTTTAACAATAGGTAAATTAGCAACAGATAATGAAAACGTTATAATTTAAAAAAGTGTTATGGTAAATTTCCTGATGAAGCCATTGAAAAATTAAATGAGGAGATTTTAAATTTCAAATGTAAAATAAATTAGAAGTATTATGACTAAAAATTACAAAAAAGATTATCCTATATAAACGGATATGAACTGGCCAGAAAATCTGAGGACAAATAAATTATTTGAACGTTTGATTAGGAATTTGAAATGCTGTAGAATGGACAATTATTTCTGAATATCGGTTTTTAACCTTTTATTTTAGAACATAAAGATAAGGTAGACTGCATAATATTTGATCATATCAAAGATTATCATAAACAGTTATCATCGAGAGTAAACGTTTAGTGCATATCATCTCTAGATATGTTTTTTTAGACAATATTGTTTTGTTATCGGAATTATCTTTTACCGGGTGTTGGATTGTGTTATTTGAATGTTACATTCTCCTCTAAAAAATGCGTTCGAAAAGAGAAAAGTATTTCGTTATTTCTCCAAGCGCAACGCTTGTCTGTTATGTATCTACCTCCTGTTAGGAGGAATTAATCCATTTTGTAAACAATTTATCCCAAATGAAATGAAGTACTGGAACGATTTCAAAGACTAGAGCTCAGCCAAACTGAGACAGGAAGTGGAATATCAGATAACGTTCTCACAAAAAGGGGGAAAAAGTTCCTTTCTTCTCTTTTTTCCAAGCGAAACTTATTCTAATGGCTTTTTTGTCATTCGAACATTTCATTAAGATCTTATTAACGTCTTTTGTCATATCATTTTTCTTCGCATAAGGACTTGTTCAAAAATATATTTTAATATTTTAAGTATTTATATTTTTAACTTCATCCTTTTTTTCCAAAAATTAAATTATAATTTTCTCCACGTCCTTTTAAAAATAATATTGTGTCCTCATTAAAAAATGCTTTACGGACATTTTTTAAACTTCATTTTTAAGACATTTTTTATTAAAATGAGAGTCTCCTTTAAAGTGTCCTAGCTCGATTATTAACGATTTTTAATACAGAATTTCTTCTCTTCACATTTATTAGCAACTTTGAAGCTCAAATTTGAAAGTTTGAACCTGTAAATAAAAGGACATTCTAAAAATTACAGATTGTTATTTATATATTCTTTTCAATTTATTATTTTTTTATTATTATTTACTTTCTTATTAGAATAACGATGCTTCCTTTTTGTGACCTTCATAGTGTCCTAGCTCGATTATTTATTAACGATTTATTTTCGTTTCGAGACTAATAATATTAAAAATAGTATTCTGAAATTCTGAAAATAGACTTATAATTTACATGTTTTTATTTGCTTACGCAAAATAGTTTAGCTGCTCATTTTTTAGTATTATGTAATTTTAGTTGAACAGTTTCATGTCTAACTGTTCCCAAAATGCTGACAGTTCAAGTTTGTCAGATCTTCCTTGCTAGTACCAGTATTAAAAGTACTATTTGTTATATTCAAGAGTTAATGCTGTTATTTCTTTCATTGATTTTTGTATTTTTTCCTGCTAACTCTCGCTGACTCGTAAAACATAGACGATCATGTTATTTTTTTTTCAGGAGTGCTTATGAATTCTTTGATTGCATTAAGAATTTTGTGTCAGACTGCTTCCTACCAGGTGACGAAACAACAGAGTCTTTGTTGGTAACGGGTGACCTTGTTAAGGAAATCTGCGATGAGGATTCAGATATTCACAAAGGTAAAAATGTGTTTCCAATCACTTCTTTGGGAAGCAATTTAAGCAACGCATTTAAACGGTTTTATGCCCGAATCACTGTAAATGGTCCAGCGAAGCTACCAAAGAATTAATAACGGTTGTTATTAGTAATACTCAGAATTCGCTTTACTTTTAAATAACGTCTGCTTGCGAAAAATATTTAAGTAGATCTGCTCTGCTTGGTTGCATACAGCTGATATTTTCTATTACGATTTACCAATGAAACCCAAAAATGTTTGCATATAAATGACGGGTGGGTTATCCTAACTTGTTAAGTTTATCGTAATTAGAAGTGAACATGGGCATAGTTTGGGATGCAAAACAATAATCCGCCATGTTAAATAGTAGATATAATCATTCTGTTCGTTGACATTTCGGCTACAGCAGTCTTGAAAAAAGATCACATAGCTGACTGTGTTTTTGGAATATTCATTCTGTCTGATAGTGCCTGAATTATATACACTTAGGATTATCAGTAAGACTTCCTTTTAACAGGTCCTTGTTTATAGAAGATGGTCGTCTACAAAGGGCAACATCTTCGAGACTGAAACGTCCACTATTAATGACCGTATACGTTACTGAAGACCCTGACCCAAATCCCAGAGAAAGTATGGATATTTGTAAATGTCTAGTACCTTTGCGGCATTGGGCACTCTGAATATATGGCTAGCGAAAAGTTTGTGGTTTGGTTGGAAGGGAAAGCGGTAGGAGACCCTCTGATCAATTCCCCGGATACTCTTCCTCAAAGCTGGGGAGAAGTAGAAATCCAGCAGCATTCTTGAGGCTCTGGCAACCATTTTTTCATACAATTATAGAGTCTTACTCTCTTGTTCCACATAAACTAGAGTAGATCCTAAAATGATCTCTCGAATTCTTGCACAGGCATGAAGAAAACTACTGACTCGAGAAGAAGAGTGAAAAATAACCCTTTAATATAATTCAAAACAATTAACAGAAAGGCACAGTCTTCGTGCGTTACAAAGGCACCGTCCAACTTGCGGTGAAACTAAAACGTAGAATATAATTTAAGTCAAACTAAAAATAAATAGTGCAAGATAACACTTAAGTTACTCCTACCAGCTAGACTCACAAGAACATAAACCTGCCTGATGATTAATGCGATATGGCCAAAGAGGCTTACTAGCGTAATACCGCAACAACAACGAAACGTGCGCTTGGCTAGCGAAACACGCTCTGAATAAACTCAGAGATTCACCCGTTTAAATGAGCCTTTCACTTAATTTTAAATTTACATCCTGACGAGAGAATGTGAGGGGAAGTTGAGAAGTTTAGAAAAAGGTATCAACTTAAAATAAATTTGTTATGTAAAATAAGGAAAATCTTACAAAATATGGGCTCATCAACAAGCAAACATTAAACTTATACTGAAATGTTTTGCAATAAAGGAAATGTTTCAAGAATTTTCTTAGTTCGTAGCAAGCGATTCAAGGTTTTATTTCAGGCAATTCTAATACCAAGCAATTCAGTGTTTCCCCAAAGAATTGTTATGAGCTTATTTTTTCTGTCTTTTAGAACCAAACATTTAGCATTTTAAAAACGACTTTCGGAGTTTCTTTAATATTTCTTGTGTTACTTACGATTCTTGAAATAATTTAATACCTGTAAAATTCTAGCTAAATTAACTTTACTTTGCTGCTAGATCTTTCCTTCAATTGTGAAGCGACTATTCATTAAGTTCAAACTGCATTAATGACAAAGCGCAGGAAGAGTGAAAAGTCGTTTTATTCAACTCAAGATAGAATTTACAGATTGCACTGATGGTGCTTGCAAACTTAGCCAATTAGTCTAAGTATCTCCATACTTAGCCTAATTGGCTAAGTTTGTAAGCACCGTCAGTGCAATCTGTAAATTCTATCTTTATTTAAATAAAAGGGACTTTTCACTCTTCCTAGCGGTAGATGCGAATCAGGGTAAACTAAAGCATACGTCGAATTCAGTATTGTATGCTTTCTGATAATTCTCTAAGAAATGAAGGGAATAATATTAAAAATTTTGAATTTTTATTTTTTAGCAACGATTTGTTATGTTTGGTAAGTGGATCTTAAATTTTTTGCTTTGGATTTAAACTGTTCTTAAGCTATCACATATTAACCTTTAAGAATGCAACTTAGAATGCCAAATTTTAAAGTTTACCGTGTTTAGATTTATCATTCATCGTAGGTTACGTCATGAAATTTATTGGCGAAGTTTAATAATTCAAATGTCTAAATTGCAACATAAATACCGCGAATTTTATTTTAAAGTTTAATTACTCTACATAAGATTTATAGTACAAGCAGGCTTCGATTGAACATCTGAATAACAAACCATGATATATATGCCTTTCATTAGTTTTATCTGAGAAATGTAAATAACTACAATAATGATATTTATAACTAACAGGGAAGCTTCTCTAGCACAGACCTCGCTAACAATCTTGTTATCTCTTAGAAGATTTAAACATCATTTAAGAAAGCCTTTTGGATCATTATTTGTCCTAAAAAACAGTATATTATAGAGGTGTTCTTCATGAACGGGGACTACAGTTGAAGCCTTGCAACAGAAGGGAGTGTCAGCGACTGTAATTACATTTGAATGAAAGATTTTTGTTTTTTGTTGATTGGTTATCGCTTTCAGTTTGTTTCAAATATTTTAGTCCATTAGTTGTCCTTGTGTGGGAATGGTCCACGATTCACAGAGCTTGATGTAATGCTTTCATAAGGATAACGTCACTTGTACGTCAGTGGGCCAGAGATCGTCAATTCAGAAACATTTGTGAGGGTGTCGTATGAGGGTTACTGAAGATAAGTTTTTAACATGAGTGTCTGTCTACCTGTAAACTGTTACCACATTTAAGACGCCCCTGTTTTGTCACGTGAGCAAACTCATTTCAATGTCTCAATAAACTCCCGGGGCGGGCCTCTTGCGGCTCCAGGGAGTTGTTGCCTCTAGGTAGGGGAGGGAGTGGGACGCATGCCGTTTACCTCTGTTAAACATCAGGCGTCCTCGTCCTCCGTCACCTGTCACCTGTAAACTGTTACCTATAAAGTTACTTTACTGGCTAGATCTTTACTTGAACTGTAGAGCGTCTATTCGCTGAGTTCAAACTGTACCAATGATAAGACGCGTGAAGAGTAAAAATACCCTTTTATTCAACTCAAGATGTAATTTTTACGGCACTTCTGTTGCTTACAAACTTAGCCGATACTTGTGGCTGCATTAACTAAGTTAAGTAATCAACCGAAGCTACACAGAGATAATTAAGGCGAGCTGGCTTTTAACCCTACCACTGGCGTACACAAACCGCAAATTAATATGCATAGCCTTAAAATAGCAAGTGTAAATCAGAGAAACAACGTGGCAGAACACACTCTGTCTGAAATAACTCAGACACCAGCTTAAATATATCGTTCTACCCTACTTTGCATAACACTCGAAGCAGAAGTATCATTCTGGAAGGAAACGAAAATGAGGAAAGCTAGAAAAGATATGTAACCGAAACAACTGGTTAGTTTAAAACTAAAATAATTTCTTACATACTTTAAGCACCTATTGTATTAAGCTGTGCAGCAGTGTACTAGATATGATGAAATTTTATTGCAGAAAATCGCGCTTTGCTACTGCGGCTCAGTTTACTGAAGTGACTGACTGTACAGGCGTAAATATCGAAACTCATTCGACATAGTTTTAGTGGAGACTCACAATAACTACTTGAACTCACTAGCGGTGTGTGGCTGCGATATTATTTCAGCTTCACAGTATGTATTACTGAACAAAGTAAAAATAAAGCAAAAAGATTAGAAAGCAAATATTTTGTTTGTTCCCATTAATTTTATATTTCATTACTAACAAAGCCATGAAAGATTTTGTCCACTAATATACTGGCGGATTTAGTTTTGTATTATTGATTTTTATCCATTTCACGGTAGCAAATGATAACAGATTAGCATCTACAAGCATTCTGCGCATGCATGCTACAACAAATTTCAAAGTTTACATATGTAATAGCAAAATGAGTCGAGATATGGGGAAAAAAGAGTTTAATTCTGTTACATGCCATGTTTATTAAAGATTAATGTTTCATAACATTACTAAAGTAAACAAAATCAAGCAATATATAGGTGTTATAAATCTCCAACCTTAAAACGTTTCTTTAATTTCAAGATTATAATGTTTCCCTATACTCAAGGCGTGTAATAAGACAATAAAAGAAATACAAGTAACAAACTACTCAATTCGAAGAGCTCAAGCATTAGAAAAGCGATTTTCGCTTGAAATTTTGCAAGGGAATGCAAATCTCACCGGAGGCTGTTATTACTAAATCATAAGTACCTATTAATGAGCTCGGCTTATAGGATTGGATGAGAGTCGGCGCCCCTTACACGACTGCCAAGAATTACGATTACATAGTTAAAAAGCAATTAAAATGTTTACATTAGTTCAGGCATTTTCCCCAAAAGGCCGCCAATTAATGACTACGCATTTGCCTCAAGTTTAAATCGAAATAAAATAGGGCATCGCATGTGGTAAAATTGGTTGTAACTTAAAGGGAGATCTTCTTTATTAAGAATAATATTAAAGGGGATAAAAATAAATTAAAATTTTATCACTTTGTGTCCGAAAATGCAGACGGTGAGTGCTAGAGAACAAGGTTCGCAGGCGTAGAGGGGGAGAACGAAAACAAGTCCAAATGGGGTGTTAATATGATTTTTTAAATCACAGAAGATGTTCGAAATTCCTTTCAAACGCCACAATGCATACTTGACAACTTGGAAGCTTGGATTCATGGACCCGTTCAAATTGGGTAGGTATGTTACAAACACGTGCCGCCCCTTCCACGATCCTGGTGAAGAGATCCATGCGCGATGTTACGGTCGTCTCGTATACTATGGACTTCATGTATCCCCACAGATAGAAAACCAAAGGAGTCAGGTCGGGGGATTGCGGTGGCCATACGACTGGTCCACGGCTCCACACGAGTAATACATATCGGCTAATTCTAAGTTAGTAAATCGTTTCATCTTTTTCTTACAACGTCCTCGCTTGAAATAATTTTTCATGTTTGTTTTTAAATTTAAGATTGATGAGATACGAATATTTCCGTCTTTTAAAACATTTAGTGTTAAAACATAAAGTGCAAATATGTGTTCGTTTAAAACATAAAGTGCAAATATGTGTCTACCACTGACCAACGATTCAGAAAATAAAAGCTGGGTAAGGTGTTTTGAGGAGCACGTGTATGTATATATTAATTGCGTAATACATACACCAGCATACACCAGTTTTCGTATTCAGACTGCTAAAAATCCTCAAATAATGTACAATATATTTATAAAAACTAACTCGCGCATAATCAAAAAATCGTACAGTTCAACTCTGCGTAATTCGTGTCATGTCTATATCAATTGCATGATCTGACACTTAGCTCTGAATCGCGGAAAGAAAAAAGATAAATGTTATGACAGTGGTTCATATCAGACGAATATGTGTCTCAAAGGAATAACTTATTTCTTTCCTATTTCGTAGATTACATTCACAGTGTCCAGTGTTATAAATCTCTTGAGAAATCGAATGTGGGTGCTTTTTGCGAGAGGCGGGCTGAAGCACTTTATAATGCTTACCTTCATTTCTTGAGAGAAGAAGTTGAAGATGTGGATGATGCTGACAGAACTCGTCACAGATACTGCATGTAAGTATATATATTCCAAATCTAATCCTCAGTGGACGTTACCAATCAACAGAAGTGATTCTGCTAAACTTATGGCACTTTTTCCCTATGGGAGCGCCGTTGTTGTGTTTTGCTACTCGATAAGATGTATCCCACTTGAGTTTCAGAATTCTTAAAGCATGAATTCTTAAACATTCAGAATGCTTGAAGAATTCTTAATTATTTTTAGTAGAATATACTGAAAGATCTACTTAGAATGTGTCTACACATTTTGTCCAAAACATTTTGAGCATTATACCTCTATAACATTGAACAGTAACTAATGCGGTCGGGACATTTTTCAAAATTAGTTTTACAAATCTGAGCATTTGAAATTCAGTGCAGCAATCAAATTATTGTACTAACTCAGTTAACCCTTTCCGGCACGCTATCCTATTAAAGTTGGAGTTTTGATAAAAAAAAAAAAAAAAAAAAAGGTAGGCAGTCTAATTAGGCCAAGAGGAGTACACAAGTAAAATTTTGTGAAGATAGCATTTATCGGTTTATTTTGTGGGTGTGCCCAAAGTGGGCACACTAATTGAATAGAGCTTCGAAAAGAATTTTCAAACGAGCATTGGTGTCAATGAACTGACCGAGGGGATGCGCAGAGACAAAGAATACAGACTCTCAGTTGTAATAGATTATCGGTGAGCCCGATCTGGGCACACCTAGGGTTCGTCGTTTGATTTTGGGCAAGATTTCAAGGAAAAAATTTAAAACTAATATAAATAAGGAAATTAGCATACAGCCAAAAAAAGGACATATAGATTTATTTTCAAACGATTCCTTTTATACCCTAAAAAAATCTGGAAGATTTCTTTGAAAAATGAGGGTCTTAAAAAGTCAAACATGGCTAAAATATATGGACTGGTTCGTGTTCAGCTGCCATCTACTATAAATAAAAAAGGTTCAGATTAACCTATAGCAAGCTATAAATCCTTTTTCATTCAATTTTTCTGTGCGTACAGAAGGAAATTTTTATTTGTGTCCAGACCGGACATACTGTGCCGCAAAGGGTTAAGAAAATTCATAGAAATATCTTCGATTTCACTGAAGCAGATTTTTACGTGTCAGGATATTGATTAATTTCGGAGTTATTCGTTGAACCATTCTGACAACAATTTGTATCTAGAGAATCATATTCAATGCCAAAATTAAAGTAAAATTTAATTTGTTATGCACTCTTAAACTTTTAAATTTTTACTATAAAGGGATGCATATATTTCTTAACATATAACCTCAATAATTTTCTCTACTATTCTTTCTTCTTTTTTCTTATATATATAAAAGCGGTTGGTGCGGCCGATTACAATGAAAGCACTGTAGGCCCATATCTATAACTAAATGTTATAGCAGCCCCACATACAAGTTTCCAACGTTCTGCGGCTAATTGTTTATGAATTATGCGACATACATAGATATATACGTATGTGCGAAGAGACGTCAGAAAAATTCTTTTCTGAATCCATTTTACAAATCTGTCTTTGAAAAAAAAGTTCTTTATTCATTCTGCACATACAGATATCATGCAAAAGAAATCATCGAAACGGATTCGGGAGTCGTCAAAATGGATATTTCCGTTGAAATATGATACCCGAAACTTTTCGTGATTACAATGGTTCCTTTATTTTGTATAAGGAAGTGAAGAAAGCTCTTTGTTTCTCACTGAACATTTCAAGAATTCTGTTTTAGCTATTTTTTGTTTCCAAAATATTTGGTGAAGAGAAAATTAAACATAATCCAGAACAAATCTGAATCGTTCCCATGCCATATAAAACACCTTTATTTATTCCAGGAAAGACGTTTACCTCAAGCAATTAATTATATTCACAGTCGAATTAAAAGTATTAAACTTAATATTCAAAGTGGAAAGATGTCGCATGCTCATTTAAGAAATATCTAATTGCTGTACACTTAATGCGTTTTACAGCACTATTTCAGTTTGATATTTATTTTAATGGTCTAGAAGTTAAGTGATCCATGTTATTCAAATAAGTACGCTATATATGACATCAAAGTTTATATTTCCTGATAATTACGTTTTAATTCTACCCAACCGTGTGTTATTGTGGTCAATTTTTATTTCCATATTTCAAAAATGCTATATATTAAACCATATACTGTCGTTTCTATCGCATAATTAGCATGTGAGTCTAATTATACGGTATATTTATTTGTCAGCAGCGAGTCTCTTGTATATAAACATTCATCTGGAAATTCTCGATGTAATAAACATGCCTGCTCTGCCTACCTAGAATAAGTAGCTAAAAACCACTGATAGCCCGCAATTCGACTCGGGTTTGAATTTCGGCTAACGGGTTGGCTGCACGGGCTTCCACCTGTAACATGAATTTGAACCAGTTTTTCTTAAAAATTTCTTCACAATGACAAGTGAAAAATCTCTTAAGATAAACCTTGTGAGTTTTGCTTTAATTAAATTAACAAACGAAAGGGCAGGATGAAAGATCACATTCAGCTAAATTAACTCAAAACTCTCTTGTGTTATACTCAATTCATCACCATATGAAAACTGCGTTGCAGTGTTACATAGCGCGAAAAGCTTTGAATTCATTAGATTATATTTGAATGACAAAGAACTTAAAATAAAAACCTAACGCTCTAAATAAGCACTAGCTTATCTTGTAATGACATCAGTTTCTAATAAGTGCATGTTCTACTAATCATAAAATAAAGAAATTAATATCGCAAGTTTAAAATTTAATTGCCCTGCTTAAAAGGCCTCTCAACCAGAACTTTACTAATAGAACTAAATCACATTTTTATTCCACTTATTCTTATGGTGTTTCTTTATATTAAATTACGTTTCGTAAGTAATTCAAATTGTAATGTACGTATTGGAATTAATGAAATTTAAGTATTAAATCATAACAGTAATTCAGCAAACCTGCAGAGTCCAGAAAAATATCTCTCATAAAAGATGGAAATAACAAGGTTGAAAAAAATTTAACATATACATTTATTATTTAACATGTAATATATAACTGATATTACAAGTTATACTCTTTGTCGCGTTGAAACCAGAATGTGGTACTATGATACTAAGAGATGCTAGCTTACTGCATAGTAAAAGCATTCATGTTGTAGAGACATTAGGATATTTTTTTGGAAGCAACCAAGATGAAAAATTAAAAACACCTTCGCCGGGAATCGAACCACGGACCTCTGGAATACCGGCCCAGCGTGCAGAACCACTACACCACGAAGGACGCTTGGAAAGCGGGAGAAATAGTTTATAATTTCAATCCTTCCACATTGTCACGAGTCACACATAATGACACTCCTTAGATTTAGCTCCCTATTTTTCGCAGTTTCTAATTCTTCTTATGGAAACAACTGTAAATGCGTCATCCCTGTAAACGCCGCAATTTATTTATTCAAAAAGGCGGTCCAGATGAAATTAAAGCATTAACTTAGGAAGCAATTAAAAGAATTATTATGTCGATAAAATCTTTTAAAGGACAGTACTGCACTTCAGGGAACAAGAACTAAGTAGGCACCAATGCGCAGCAAATTATAATAGCTCCTTGGGAAAGAAGAACTATAAAAAATTTGAGGATTAGGTTTCAGCAGCACTGAACAATGTGGAGGCAAACAATAATGTGAGCAAATTTAATTACCATACATTACTATTTGGTCATAATGCATACGTAATGTTCACATTACTGTATAAATATTCTGCATTTGATCACATTTCAAACATAGCACTGTAACTATTGTAATAACATCTCGTAATGTTACGTGATGTAAAAAACTAAAAGGCAACGAATTTCACTCTGCACTACTTCTACTGGTACAATAAAAGTCTATACATTGTATCTGTCTTCTTTGTTATTTCTGTTTCTTGTGAATCGATAAAAAGCAACTAAATTTTGAATTTATTGGAACAAATAATAAAAGCATTGGAAATAAATTATTCAAATAAATGAATGAATGGAATAAATATTTTACGAAAAATTTATAACAGGCTGATTTGCTTAGCATTTGATGAAACACATATTATGTGACAAATCATTCAAGGTTTTGCTTTCTTTACAGTGAAACAGCTTATAAAATTGCTTGCATCTCCCTGTCTATTTTGGAAGATTGTGATGAGGTTGCCTATTTGACGTTCCTAGAAGTGGTCCATCGGTCCCATTCAATGAGGACAATTTGTTCTGAAGATGTGATTGAAGAGCTGAATACAATGTTTCTGGACTTCATGGAAGAGGACGATGCTGAAAGAAGACTACTAACTTTGGCCTTCGATATTAAAAGAAAATGAAAGATTTTGAATAATGAAATAGACAAAACTATCTTTTGTTAAGCGGTAAACTGCTTTGTGTGAAAAAGAAATGATTTAATAAAGTACAAGCATTTGTTGATTTCCTTATTGCAACCAATGGATTTAATTCTATTTTGAAATAAATAATTTTTTAAGTTTCTTCCTGCAAATGATGCTTTAATAAGCTTGATAAATGAATTCTTTGACATCCTATTAAAATCAATATATTTAATAATTTCGTTTATAAAAGTGCATCCAGTGGACCTAGTATATTCATCGATTACGTTCAAGGGAGAAATTGCAAGAAACCCTTATCAGTGTAATCCGATGCTGCTTGTAGATGCAACTAGAGTACATCTTCGAACGGAAATAAGAGCCTGATCCATTTTATGTCGAGCAAGCACTTTCATTGCCTTCAGTTGAAGTTTTATTTGATCAATTAATATGCTATGCAGTTTGATGTTTGTTAATTTACTATTTTTGAGAATCACATTGAAGCTTTTGCATGTTTCTTTAATGTTAGAAGGTACTTTCTCCATTCTTGCAGCATGTCTTCGTAGTGTAGCGGTAACACGCTCGGCGCGTATTCCAGAGGTCCTGGTTCGAGTTCCGGCGAAGACATTGCACATTTTTTACGTCTTCAGCTTTGAAAAAACCCTAAAGACTCTAATAGGTAACATTAAGCGATAATAACTTTCAAACATTAAGCAGAAAGCAACGTTTAGACGTTCCGTTGTGTAAAAACGAAAACAGCAGATAAAATAAGTTTAGAATGAGAAGACATCCGGGTAGCAAGTAATGATTTAAACAACGCATTTATAAATAACATGAAAAGAGATCCAGCATAGTTTATATCCCAGAATTGTTGTTTAATCAATTCCTTAATATGAAAGATTGTGATTTGGATGGAAGTGCGTACCTCACACTTTGAAACGCACATCGGCTAAATGTACGTTTCGAACTGTGAGATACGTCCACAGATCTAGAAACTTGTTCCAAAACGAACAAATATATTTTCACGCAGAGCTTCAGAGGAACATCTGCAAGGTAGAATAGCAGCTAATGATTGCTTTATAGCTCTAAGGTGAGGGAATTGCACCCTATCTTTTTTTATTTATGTCATTTTGCAGCAAGTAGACGACGAACTTCGCCTTCATCTGTTAGGAAAAGAACCTGTGCAAGATGTAGAATGCAATAAAACTAACTGAACAGGTTTCATCTAGAAGTTGACTACAATAAGCTTGTGAGTATTCAATATCGATGAGACAAAAATGGCCATCAAATTTTTTGAACATAAACCATGTTTTACTGCAGAATATGCTTCATCACAATTTGTTACAGTTAGAAAGAGACATCTGATATCATAAGTAGCAAACAGCTAAGCTGGCATATATTAAGACAATGCGTAAGATATTTTTCCCCGACTTCCTAGCATGCCTTCGTGGTGTAATGGTCAGCACACTCGGGGTGTATTCGAGAGGTCCGAGGTTCGAGTCCCAGCGAGGGCATTGCTCATTTTTCACCGCTCCTGCTTCGAAATAACCTAATGTCTCTACAGGGGCGCCCGAACTAAAAGATGGTGGATAACGATTCTCCACCACCAGGATCTGGCAATTAGGTCGCCTAATCCGCAGCCGCAGGTATTTTTCCCGCCTTCTTAGCATGCCTTCTTGGTGTAATGGTCAACACACTCGACGCGTATTCGAGAGGTCCAAGGTTCGAGTCCTGGCAAGGGTACTGCTCATTTTTCATCTCCCCTACTTTCAAAAATACCTGATGTCTCTATGAAAGTGTCATGTGCTTCTTTCCTTTAATATTCGCTGTAATGTTTATATCCGGAATGTAACTTGAAGAAAGTATCCGGTTCGCATTTTTCATGACTCCTGCTTCGAAATAACCTGATGTCTCTACAAATGTAGTTAATATGTGGAGTGTGATCCTTTTGATGATCGCACAAACAGCCGCTTCTTCTCTAATACGTGTCACATCACTTACTGGCGAGAATCTACGGAGATGAAGGCTTAGATGCTGACGTCGAACTTGTAGGCGCAAATGGTAACAATCAACAATATTTTTAATAATGGCCTGCTCACTCGTTTAACCTTAATTCAGGACTCATTTATTCGCTCAGCAGGGCAGACTGCAGATAATTCTTAATTTGTCACCAAGATCACTAGATGAGATGCTAGGGGAAATTTGTTGCTGCAAGAATTCCTCACCTTCTGATTGACAGCATGAATAGAAAACTTAAACCGCGTACTCTTGTTCGAGATGAGTTATGCATTTAGCTGAACTTTGAGTGGTTTCTGACTGAACTTTATAAGCTTTTGCTCCTGCAATCGAAAGCTTTAATTTGTTTCAACGTGTATTTTGTAAACAGTGAATTTTATTTATGCCTTGTATATTTGCGATGTTCCACAATTTTAAACCAAACGATGATTTAAATGATGCAATAGTTATCATTTATTTCTTCAAGTTTACAAGAAAACGTTTGTTTATTTCTTAACCTTCGTTATATAGTATTCAAGTATTTCTCGAAAGAAATTACTCTTACATTCGAGATTCAAGATTGACGAGACAGCTTGTAGAGTCATTAGATATTTTTGATGCGAGAGACTTGAAAAATGAGCAATGTCCTCGCCGGAACTCGAACCTGGATCTCTCGAATCCGCGTCGAGTGTGTTACCATTACACTACGAAGTTTATATAGTTTATTCCGTTCTTTATAAAACGGAATATAGTAAAGCGGAATATAAGTTTATTCCGTTCTTTATAAAACATGTATGTAATTGCGTGAATTTTGAATATAATTGGGATATTTCTCGCATTACATATAACTATTTCACTTAGTATATCTACTGTTATTTAAATCAAATAAGAATGATTTTTAATCTCAATTAGTATTGCAGCAAACAATGCCATTTGCGTAACCGAAAACTATGCTAGTATTCTGGATCATCTCAAAATCTGCATTATCACTGAAAACCTTATGTTGAAGCAAGTACGGTAACGTCCAGCTAGCATTCGCGAGGTCCAGATTTCGAATTCCGACTAGGATATAGCAGATTTCTCACGTTCCCTGCCTCTAAAAACCCACCCATAACTGCACAAAGTTAGCAAAAAATATTATGCATTGGATCGCTGGTGCATGAAGCTAGCAATAAATATTCCTTGCAGTTGATAATTTTTTATATACTGTAAGTAATTTCCTAAGAGACTGGATTTTCTATATTACCACATCACCCAGAAGCAAAACTCAGAAATATTAATATAAGCAATAAACAAACATAGTCGAGATAATAAATTTAGACTAAATAGAAACGAAATAAATCTAGTCTGAAGCATTTTAAGAGGGTTCGAATATTTAATTACTTTTAAACTTACATATAATTTTGATTTTAGGAACATTAATTAAAAATTATTATAAAGTTTTGAAACGCGTTCTCTATAAATCTACTTATTTATTTTTAAATTACATTACTAAATTCTGAGCAGAAATTCATCCCTTCTCTTGACTGTTGCTTAAAACGCGTGTATGACCCTCTTTCCTGTTTAAAAATGAAATTCTTTATCATGATAGGAAATGATACTTAGAAATGATTATAAAAGCAATATGCAGGAAATGGTTTTAAATAACCGTAAGATGAATTAATTTGTAAAAAATAAAATATTACAACCAGACATTTGAATTAAAAAGCAAATTCTTATTAGGTTTTAAATTTCTTTAAAAGAAAAATATAATGCACGGTATTAAAAACATTTTTTCCTTGTTTTATCGTTAGTCAAACTCTTTAGAATTTTATTCACAAATATTTTCTTTTATGATCAACCGGTATGCAACCGTATGAAGTCACTGATTGCCATGGAGACTATGAATGAAATGGTAAAGTAATGAACTATAGCCAGCCAAATGAAAGAATCATAAATGTCTGATTACCATGTATTAAAATTAATTAAACGAAATTTTTTTCTAAACTTTTATTACCATAATATAGCCACACATAGCAATTAATAATTAAACAACTTTTAAAATCTTAAGAACTTTATTAATTTTCAGGATATTTCCCTATGAAACTTATATGTTTAAATAGCTCACAAATCGGGAGTACTTGTAACATCTGATATCTTAAATCAAACATATTCCAATTACAAGCACAGGATGTGTCGTTCCTAAGCTGATAAGCAAAAGGAATGTTCTTGGTTTCCTTCCATGAATAAGTATGGAACAAAAAGATAATATCATTTCCGTATCCTGAAGCCTTTTTTTCAGATTTTCCTTTTAATTATGTGCAAACTAAGTTAATTAGCTCACTCGTGCATAAACTGTAGGTACTTGCAGACATTAATTACGATGTGGGTCGCTTTTGCTTTTATTTTATTGGCTTCAAAAGGTAAGGATTTCGATATTGTTCTCAAACGTTTCGCAGATAATATGATATTCTATTCTTTGTTACAAATTTCAGACAATAGTATTTATTTATATAATTTGTGCACTATTGTTTCCTGCCACACGGAATGAAGATGAATATGCCTCTATTCTGTATTATTATAGTTAGAGTTATTAAAATTTAAGAGTTAATTAAAAAATTAAATAGAAACATGAAAATTAGTATTTTATAAGTTGATATAAAATATGAGGGTTTAATTTTACGTGCGTCAGTGTCCACCAGGGATCGAGCAGTAAAGTCGCAGAACACTGGTATTTCGGTTCGAATCCCGCGAACGGGATGGCTGCATGTGCCCTTTCGTGGTTTTCTCTGTGTGAAACATGTATACGAGCCAGTTTTCCTTAGAAAGTGCTCCACGAAGGCATTCCTCCCCTTAGCCATATAACCCTCGAGGCTTTGTCATAAACCAAGCATAAAACATAAAACCAAGCAAATCAAACCTGATTCTGTGAGTACAATTATATTTCCAAATAAACCGTGTTTTTTAACTTAAAATTCAAAATTTCTCTTCCATTTGACTCTTGTTTTTTAAATAAGCTTGCTACGGATTTTCCGAATATGAGAGCAGTCTATGAAGATCTAAATCTTAAGAATAAATTAACGAAAGGGTTTAATTGGACATATGTCTTCTCATATTACTATGCTAAAAATCAAATATTACTCTAGACAAGATTTTATTTTACAATTGTCATTATTACTGCATTATTACAGTTGCGGCTGAAGTATTTTACAGTTATTACAGCTGCGGTATTTTATATCTCAATAACCACTTTGTCATTGTCGAAAATATTCTAAGATATCAAAGTGGCATGTTTTTCAAATTAATAAAATCCCACGAGCAAAGTACTCTTAGCGTTTGAAAACTTATAAATTACTCATATGGAAAAATATGATGTAAGTAGCAATTTTTTCAAATTGCTACTTGGAACGCAGTTATGGATCAGATTTTAACGGTCGCGCTCAAAAGGCTTTGTTAAGGTTTTTAACACTCTCACTGAGTTCGCAGTGTTACAGTCTGCTGTTGCGCTCACTCCTACTAATGCTTTTTTTTTTTTTTTTTTTTTTTTTTTGTCTTCTTTTTCTGTATTATTAAGTATCATTTTCTTCATCCTGTTGCCATACACAATTCAATAATAAAAAAAAAGCCTAAAATTTTAAAGGCAGAATAGCGCCATATGTTTATATATCCCGATTCAGCTTTAAGTATTATCATGCATTTTTCTATTTTTTTCAATCTTTTCTTACTTAGTTCATCGTATCCATGTCCAGTTTCCTTAGTAAGATTGCTTAAATAACACATTTTTTCTGTCTTTTTATTATGGACGTTTCCTGGCTAACTTTATTTAATTAATATCACGTATTTTACACATTATATTACACTTAATTAATATCACGTATTAACGCCTTATAAAATTCAATTCAACACAAAAATAACAAAATATTACAGCATGTCTTAAAAATGAACCACTTATCTTGTTATTAAAAATTCATTCAAGTTTTACAAAATATTAAATAAACAATAAATAAAATTAAAAAAATCTGAAAGCCTTCAGATTTTATATTACGCCTAAAGGGGCTTTTTTTTAACGTTTTGTGCGTTACCTTTATGTATTAAATATCATGTTCTTCCCACTTAAACTATAAAATTCAGTTCAACATCAATATCACAAAATAATTTTGAAAAAGCATATCTTTAGAATTTCCGATACACAGTCTCGCGCGCTGGAAGAACAAATGCCCCTCCCGTACAGTGTTACCATTGCTCACTTTGAAATCCTTAGTATGTTAATCAAAAACTAGTTAAGATAAAAAGTTAGTTTTGCAAAATATGAAATAGATAATAAAACTAATCTCAAATTTCAAATTTGGGCTTCTAGATGCCCATTGTGAGTGGAGCACTACGTAATTCAAAATTTGATGTCCGTAGGTACTGCTATTTTTTTACAGTTCGAGAAACATACATACATCCATGCAGATCCTTCATTATTTAATTTCTTTAAATATAATGTAGGGTTGTATTATTTGGTGGCAACAATTTTAAAAGTGAAACTGTTTATAGTGAACCAACGCAAAATGCTAGAACGAAATTAATAGTTGTTCTCGACAAATTCTCTTCTTGGGCTAAAAAATACATAAAGTAATTCTTCGAAAATACTGTATATTTTTAATTATACAGATGGTGAAATAACTGCATTTTTATTATTTAAACCAATCGGATTTAAAAGTAAGGTAATAATATTCTTAAGAAATACATTTATTGTTTTCAACCATAACAGACAGATTCAATATGAAAGATACATATCTTACATTTCGCTGAATTTTACATTTTTGATATTGTTGCGAAAGGAAGATAGCAGTGCTTCAGCTTCTTAGCGGTAACAGAGGTAGAAGCAACATGCGTAGTTATGCAATAATTGAAAGCTTATTAAGGGAAAGGTTTGGCTTTCGTCGTTTTGACGTTTTGAGTTGCCAATTAGCTTTGCCACCATCATTGTGTAAAAGTAATATGGTTATGTATTAATTTAGAAATGAAGCACTACAGGAAAAGAACTCCTTCTTTTTATCTTACACACACATATATACTATGCATATATATATATATATATACATACATACATTAACTGTGTTTTTTTCTGGGAAAATAATCTCTCTAGCTTATACATTTAATTAATCTTAGCTATGTTAGAGCACGATTTTGGCTTTGGAAGTCCATTTTTGCATAATTTTTAGTTTACGTTTTATTTAATATATATATATTATATATATATATATATATATATATACAGGGTGATTCCAAATTGTTTTAACAAATTAAAAGGGATGATAGTATTCATCCAGGTGAGCAATAATTACCATTGAACAGAGGGTCGCATTCCACTCTGAGAGGCAGAAAAGAAGAATATTAGAATTCCAACCTGAACTTACAATAGTGGTTGGGAGAGCGAATGAACGAGAGCAAAATTTGCGCAATCAGTTTAATGAAAAACTCACAGATTGCGCACATGGAGATTGTTTTCATGCCCAAATCGTTATTGAATATATAAGTTAGTTTATTTCGATAGAGCAACGCAAAATAGATCCTGAAAACTCTTCTTGCAGATAAAAATGCTTTTATGGAGAACTTTCTAAGGAAAACAAACTGATATTTGCATTGTAAATGGAGAAAACCATGAAAACTACCATGCAACCAGGATTTTATCGCATTTTAAGATGTATTAATAATCCTCACCCTTTAGCTCTGTTAATTATTATAATAATCCCGTCTATAACAGTTTAATTGAAGGACGCTTAGCACATTGAGGACAAGACAAAAATAGTTATTGCTTTTTATTAATATTGTTTAGATGTTTCAACCACTTGGTCGCTGGTGAGCGTGCACGAGAGATAAGGATGCATATATTAGCTTGTGTGGCATAATGATAGCATACCCATTGTTTGGTTCGTATCTCTTTAGAAATTAAGACCTTTACAAATTTCCAAGTTTGTAGAGTCGTTATATTTTTTCTACGCAAGAATATCTACAAATCAACAAAGCTGTCGCTGGAATTCGGGCTTGAGAATTTCTACTTGCTTTCATGATGTGATAACGGTTGTAAAAGGGCTGTAACGACAAAGGTATATAAGTCTAACATCTTTTTAATCCCTTACATTTCCTACTTTCATAGGACGGTTAGTTAGTAGGAAGCGAGAATCAATCGGCGGGTCAAATCGGTGAAGAAAGTTCGTCTACTGTATATTTATTCTTCGGAGCTACCATAAAGTCTTTGAAATCAAGATGACAGTACGCTAAGTCGACATGGAAAACGCAACTTAAATTTCGACAATCGGTCCTCCTAGAACAGGAGATATAGAACTATTCCCCTTTTTAGTCCAAAGGGGCTTTATCCCTAAAGGACTACTGTTTTCGTTTTGCGATTTGGCGTTGAATCACTATAAATGTCCGTTTCACTTTTCAAACTGTTGCCACCAAATGTTAGAGTCCTGCATTATATTTGAAGATATTAAATAATGAAAAATCTCCATAAACGTATGTATATTTCTCGCATTGTGATAAAACAACCGTACATAGACCCATCGAATTTTGAATGACGTAATCCTCCAACGAATATGAGCATGTGGAAGACCAAATTTGAAATTTGGAAATTGTTTTATTATCGATTTCCTATTTTTTAAAACTTTGAACGATTTTTTGATTAAAAATCTTGAGTTTGTTAAAGATTTGTTTGTTATCAAGGATTTCAAAGAGAGCAATGGCTCTACGGGGGGAAAAAACCTTTTTATCTCCAGCGCGCGGAACTGTGTATCGGAAATTCTAAAGATAGGCTCATTTTAAAATTATTTTGCGATAGTTGCTGTTGCAGCTGAATTTTATGGCTTAAGTGCAAAGAATATGATATTTAATAAATAAAGGTAACACTCAAAGCGTTAAAAAAACGCCCCTTTGGACGTAATTTAAAATCTGAAACCTTTCAGTTTTTTTTCTTTGTGCATTGTGTACATCTAAAAGCAATTGTTTCCATGTTTAGCCTCACATTTGCACCGGAGTACATTCTGGTAATCTGACTACATAAATTGGCTCATAAATAGTTAAGAGTTTAGAGTTAGTTTAGAGTTTCAAAGCTCTAGTCTCTAGCCAAATTTGCATTACGATCTTGTAGCACGTTACTCGAAATCTTCTTGCATCGCTGAGATATAGCCTTGAATAGAATGGACCACAATCTTACTAATGCAATTTTAAATACATACATTTACACATAATTAGCAATAAACACTGTTCTTTTTATCAGCTATACATGAAACTACTATGAAAGTTGTTAGATCTCCATTTTCAAACCCACTGAGCACCGATTTCAAGTTTTAGCTTCTAACAATACATTTTAAATATTTTAAGACATTTTCTTTTCCATTCCAGCTGCACATGGACAGCAGCACTGCATACCCGGTGCTTTTACGGCTTGTGATCCCACTCTTTCGAGAGAAGAAAAGAATAAAGCAAGAGATGTTGGACTGACACCCACCGAAGAGGAGCTCAGAGAGATATGCCCGTAATTTCATGTTTATTCATTTCATTACTGCAAAAGATTTTTTATTCCATTCAAGTGCTATAACTGTTCCATTCCTTATTGGCAAGAATCGTGATACTAGAACAAGAATTAATTCCAGGACTTCCTAAAACTTTGTATGATTCTGTGCTGTGTACGTTTAAGTTACAGTTGAAGTTTAAGAACCTTGAGAACTGATCAACGAATAATCGCTTGAGTTCGTGAGATAGAGAACAACACGTAAGACGGGTGAAATAACCCTTTATTATTCCAATAAGGTGTAACGGAACTCCGTCTTGGAGTTGTACAATAAAGCCGACGTTCGGGCTTGAACGTAGTCAACTAAGAACTAAAACTAAACTAATCTTAGCTAAAAAGATATAGCCGAAGCTATTAAGATTCTAACAGAGTTGGCCCCTTAATTTTAAATAACGACAAAGCTATCAAGGGTCTAAAGTACGGCCGAGCGTGATAATAGCTTAAGAGAGAGAGTAGCCTAAGAAGGCGAAATCTCGCTAGTCAGAATCATTGGTTCTCTCTCTAACGAAGTCAGTAGAACTTCGCGGTTAAATACTTCTCCTCATTTGCATTAAAACGCGAATCTAAAACTACGTTCTGGCTTGAAGTTGTAAGTTGAAATTCAGGAAGACAGGAAAGGAGCTTTAACTGGAAATTTAACGGTTAAATAAATTAACATAATCATTACAACTTATTTAAAAACGTTTACACGTATTAACAAAACGGATTTTTGAAGCAACATGCAAAAAAATGCATAATTGATCTCCATAATTTTGTAAATTGCTCTGTAACGTATTTTATTTATTATTTAAATATAAACCCGCGAACTGAAATCTGAGGTAACAAACACCATTTATTCATTATTTAATGATTGCGAATATTTAGTTGAATTTTAAGCTCGAGATTTTTTCTTTAGTAATTTTAAATTCACATTTATGAAAAATTTATGAGAACAAAAGCGATGTATTTAAGTCACGCGTGCAGCCCACAAAATCCCGGCGTTATAGGCGTTCTCGTGGTTTTTCCCATATGTACATGAATACGTATCAATTTCTGTTAGAAAGACCTCCTCGAAAGCATCTGAAGGCAAGATATCCTTCGCATTCTTTGCTATAATTAAATAATATTATGCAGAAACATCTCCAAAAATGTCCATGCAACCAACCTTGAGCAAGATTCAACTCCGAATTGAAGTGCTAGCTTTCATAACCATCCGGGAACTGCTGGAGCTACACTTGCATAGAATTGCATTATTTAACTATGGCAAAGCACACAAGGGCTATCTGTCTAAAGGGAGGGATGCCTTCGTGGAAGACTTTCTAAGGGAAACTGGCTCGTATATACGTATATACGTTACACATGGGGAAAACCACGAAAACACCCATGCAGCCAGCCCGTTCGCGGGATTCGAAGCTCAGACCGAACTTCCAGTGTTCAGCGTCTTTACCGCTCGGCCGCTGGTGGGCTTACACTTGCATAGTACACACTCCTCGGACTTCTGAGTTTATGGTGTTAAACAAGTGCACATCAGGCATCAGAACTGATAATTAAGCGTGCAGTAATTATTTTAATAAAAACACAGTAATTTAACTTCCTTGCTATTAAAATTTTAATTCAAACGCGAAGATTTGATAATTTGATTTGGAATTTTTATATATGTATGTATAACAATTATTTTCTATTTAGGTTTATCTCCTGTAAAAGAAAGTGAAAAACTATTGCTTACTGAAACTAGCAATGTTAAATCTTGCGAAGATAGATAAAATATTAATAAAGTAGTAAAAGTTTAGAAGAAATTTCCAATTTGTGTGAGTAATAACCCAAAACGCACTTTTTAAGATAAAAGAAAATAAAAACTAGTCATAAAAATTTTTTACAGTTATGCTCTCAGAATACTAATTTCTTCAATACTTAATCCCTAAAGTGTAAGGAGCATGCTGATCGATATTTTATAAAAAAAAAAAACGAACTACCTTCTATCTACTTCCATTTCTAGGCGAAAAGATAATTTCATCTTTATGGATATCTTATTAAAAATCTATAAAATTTATTTGAAACCTTACTGGCGGCGCAAGTGAATATCTGATAACCGGAGCACTAAATATTATGGATCGAGATCATAAATATTTCTTTCAAAACCTCCAAATTCTTTGAACATAAAATATAATTCCTTCAAAATTTAAAGCTATAAATTTAGTTTTTAACCGACTAACTTTACGTCTCTTATAAGAAAAATTTTATGACAAATTTCTAGACATATATACCTCTTGTTACTCTTATAATAATGCATTGCACCTTAGAAATGAAATGGAGAAGTTTATTAAAACTCTCATAATAAAGAGCATTTCAATAAAGTTATTCTGACATAATTTGCCGTTTCTTTACTAAAATGTAATTCGAAACTCAAATTTACCGGAACATTTGCAGATAATAAATCGATTGTAACATTTTATATATTTGATATCTTTCTTGTTTTCAGGAGTTTGCAAAGAAATAAGAATTGCATGGTTGAGGAGATAGAAAAGTGCGGAGAAGCTGAAACTGCGGAACACGAGGGCTTCGTTGAATTCATAAAAGGATCAAAGGCAGTCCTTGATGAACTGTGTGACGAAGGCTCAACTTTGCACGCAAGTAAGCTGCTAACGGATTCGAAATTCATATCTTTTGGTATTTTATCCGTTTCCATGTTTCTTAAAGCCGATAAAACATGGAATTTAATTTTGTTCATTTCGCTTTTGGTTCAGTAACTCTTAAAAATACTTCATGAGTATTGTGAACACAAAAGCTATAGAAAGAAGGCAGATTGTATTATCTTTATATATATAAGCGGCTTAAGTGCTTGTCGACAATAGATTGTTGTTGCCACTCGGAAAAATGAGCACAAAAATTAACGTTTCCGCAGTTTGTAATTAATATCTTGGCCGCTTAGAGTCATACGAAGATGAGAACGGTATCGATGTATTCGGAGAAGTTTTTGGAATCCGACGACACGCGTCTCGAATTTCCACTCGGCGCTGTAGATATTCGAGAAAAAAAATAGGCACGTAGCCAAATCCCTCTAATACGGAAAAACCAAGAAAGTGGAAAATGTAGGGGAAACTTAGGCGAAAATTAGTTTTTAATTAATATCTCGGCTAATTAAAGTCCTACGAAGACGCGAATCGTCAAAATGGCGTGCCACGGACCTGCGGAATCCAACGGTGTGTTTCACTAAGCCCGTTTCGGAGGAGATGATGTTCACCCATTATATATATGCGGTTTAAGTGTCTGTTTGTCCCCGATAGTTTATTGGTTGCTTGCGTAACTTTACTAGCCAATGGGGTAAAGTTGCCACGGCACAGGGTTGCCGTTTCAATTGAGACGTAGACAATTTCCTGTAAAACTTGCCTTTGCTATGACCATCCATAAGTCTCAGGGCCAAACGTTTAAGCGTGTTGGCATTTTTTTACCTGAGCCTGCATTCGGACACGGTCAACTTTATGTTGCCTGTTCAAGAGTTTGCGAAAGAACGGACGTAAAATAAAAAATAATGGATGGTCCTCTGCTAGGCGAGCTTAAAAATGATGGTAAGATCTACACAAATGTTGTGCACAAAAATATCCTTGATTAACATTTTATTATTCGAATCACCTTTATTTACTGAGCTAGCGGTCGCTCTTAAGAAATGTACCGCCAGTAGTTTCCTTCACTGCACTCTACTTTAAGCAAGTAGAAGAGGGAAACCCCGTGGGGCAGTAAGCAAAGGGGCATCCTCTCCGACTGCCCTGGGTAATTCAGTTTTGAATTAGCCGATACCTTTGCACAAATCATTTTAATTAAAATTTATACTATCTAGAACAGCGGTCATTTCTTAGGACCGCCGGGCTTTCTATTATGTTATTTGTCAACGACAGAGAGCTTATAATATACTACACCGTATATTAAATTAACTGAATGAAAATAATCCAGAAACTTTTTCGAAGTCAAACATAATGTCTAAAAGCTATCTGTACCCCTTCTAAAGATGTACGTGACCGTACACATAAGAGTATGGTGCTCTGAGGTTTTGACAGGTTTGGGATACACGCGTATGGTCCTGCCCTCATCAAACAGTATTAGTTGGCGGAAATAGGTCTGTCAAAAATGCGGGGACCGATCAAGATAGTCAAACTATCAAAAAACCGTTGGAATGGAAACAAAATACCTAAAACTTGTGGGGGCATAAACAGTACCCGTACGGCCATAGTACCTGTAGGGCCATATCTGGGCGGCCATACTTTAACGAGATAAATGCGAAAAAAGTATAGCGTCATATTTGGTACAAGGGAAATAGAAAATTTATTGCAAGCCCCGTCCTCCGTCACCTGTCACCTGTCACCTGCAAGCTTGAGTATCGGCATTTGCGCATGTTTAAGTGGTAAAATGTTCAAAACGTATACTGCGCATATCGAAGCATATATACTCGCGCCGTAGAAAGGCTGACTGCACATACTGCAGCTGCCTGGTGTCCACCAAGCACATGCAGCATGAAGATACTCACTTTCTGCAGTACCCAAGTCTTGATATATCAATTCCTTCGTATAGCACCATAGGAAGAAATCTAAAAATGTCAGATCTTGCAATTGTGGCCACCATAAAAGCGAACGGAATACATTGCCACCATGCAAAGATTATCGCTACGTATTAGACACAGCCTTTTAACATTTTATCGCCAGTTAGATGCCATACAACAGCGTGCGTTGAATTTCAACATATTTCCATATAAACATATGAAAATGCTTATGTTCATGTTTCCAGTAAAGTTTTTCTTCTTGCCAACAGACATAACATCATACTCTTTTTTTCGTATTTATCTGAAAAGTTATAGTTTGCACAAGTCTAGTTCTTTGGGTATTTTTTTAATCTCCAAGCAAGGTATCTGGCTGTACAGAGTTTGGGCGTTTTTGATGGAATATCCGGTATTATGTTATGGTGAAGCGAAAAACAAAAAAAGAAACAACAAATAAAATGAGAATCACTAGTTCGCTTAAAAATAAGAATGAGACATAATAATGGGAGCCAAAAACGCCAAAAATAAATCAAGAAGCATAAGTTTCTCATGACAGAAAGTGAGTTCGCTAGACTATTTCAAAGATGGAGTCCCCAGCTGCTTTTTGAAGTAGTTGTTTTTACAAAATAAATTTACTAATGCGACATGATTTTGCATATTAAATTAACAAGACTTCTTTGGGAGAATGCAACACTATCTGGAAAAAGGTAATGCGTTTTCTCAGAAGTTTCAAGGGGAAGTTTGCAAGAATCATGTATCGGATGGCCGAGACTAAAATGGTTCATGAGGTACCTGGAACTAGTAAATAAGCTTAGAGGAATAAACTGCCATTATGATAGATTTTTGGAGAAGGGTATTTGAAAGACGAAAGTGTGGTCTTAATTTTCTAACGTTATTTTTTAATCTTACTATCACTTCTTATTTTCTACTTCCGGCCAGAATTATAAGCGTGAAGGAGTTTATGCAAAGTTGTCTGGCGAACGCCAAGTATTTAAGTGTGGCCTTTTTGCCAAGCAGAAGAGAGGAAGCCGTGAGTTCGAAGCAGGCCGCTTACCTTAGAAGTTACGCAGTTGCTACTTTGCCTTCCAGGCCAGAGGTTTTAATCCTCTTGATAAATTAAACGTATTGTAGTGTTCACAGTCTCTGTGCTACATACGCTTCCTGTTATTATAAGGCCAATCTTATTCTAAAGTTAAATTAGAGTTTAGTTTTATTTTGATATCTTTTAAGTTAGACCCCGAGTGGAGGGTCATTGTATTCCGAAGTACGGAAGTCATTGTATATAAGAAAAAAAAATAAAGGGTTTTGTATACCCTTCGTCTGTATCCTGTCTACTTACTACAATTAGTGAACATAGCTTTAGTAAGCTCTCTGTTCTAGTCAGGTCATTGTATGTTAAAGTAGAAGAACTGATAGGGCGCCCGCAAGAAAACCTGCTGCTGCAGACGTCAGAATCAAAACAGCTGCCCTGAAGGATTGGGAATGTCCAGCCATGCGCTTCGTGAACAGGCACGTTATGGAATCACGGTAACCAGTTTTTTGGAAAAATTGGATGACCACTTCATGCTCTACCCCGTGCACGAGTTTCAAAAAGTTACCTTAGCTACCAGCGCTTTGAGGGGCCAAGCGCTTAACTGGTTCAAATGTATCGGCAGAAGTCTCTTGGGTCAAGCAGGAAGTCCCACCTATACCTACGAAAATTTCAAGACTGCCCTACTAAAAGCCTTCCCTGTTGTAAGGGATCGTGCGAAATTAGAAACAGAACTTTTCAGTATATATCAACAAAGAATGGAAAACCTCTCGAGCTTTATTTTAAGAAAAATTCACGTTTTCAAGCTCTTGTATGGAAACCGTCCGGATCCTGAAATAATTCAAGTGATTTTGCCGAGGTTACTACCCCAAGTGCAAGACTTTATTGAATTGAGAAATCCGACTACACTGGAAAAATTATTTGAGCTAGCAATCCAGTTTGAAAGTAGAAGAACGGCGGACGTCGAAAGAAGACGCCAATATCAACAGCGAAACCAATTTGGTACGCCAAGACTAACACAGCAAACTCAAGCACATGGCTACGGAGAAAAGAAAAAGCGAATCAGTGGGCAAAGGAAACCCGAGCAAAAAAAATAGCCGGCGAACGTCGACAGTTCAAGTCAATAGCAACCCAGGAAAAAAGTCTCAAGGCCAGTGGAGAAAGAGAAGGAAAGCACCGAAAGGAAAAATAATTTAAACTAAAACGGATTTCTGCTGACGAGAGGGTGCGGAAATCCGAAGGCCACGAAAACCCCTCTTCCTACAAGTTAAATACAGTAATGGTGAAAAATTTAACTCTTCCGAAGATTGAAGTCTTGGTAAATAATATCCCGGCCACCGCACTCCTGGATACCGGCGCGCAGTGTTCCTGTGTGGCAGAAGTCTTTTTTAGAAAGTATTTTCGCAAATACCGCATATATAATGCGGATATACACAACAGTATTAGCGGCGCAAGGAGAACAATGTAAGTGCGTAGGTAAAGTACCTTTGTACATCCGTATCAAGGACGAACAAGTAAAGGTGATGTTTTTTATAGTAAAGAATTTGCAAGCACACTTAATACTAGGAATAGACTTTCTTTCAGACGCACAAGCTACACTGGATTTTAATGAAGCGTCTCTTAAGCTGACTGACGATGAAACCAGTGCGTGTAGAAAAGGTTGAACCGCCAAGGTTAAATCTCGACCACCTGCCTAATGACGAGCAAGATAGAATCCGACAAGTGGTAAGTGAATTTGCTTCCTTATTTAGTGATATTCCAGGATTTACCCAGGTTACTAACCATAGTATTGACACCGGAG